GGAGCTTCAACGGGGCAATGTACCCCACAAGGTGTCACTTGGCAGGAGCGGGACCTGCTACAGGTGTGTCCGCCACTGACTTTCTCAAGGAACTTGAACGGCAGGTCTGGGAGGAATCTCTAAGAATTGGGACCGGGGTCCTCTGGGTAGTGGGCTGAGCTGGTAGAACCTTTCAGAGACAGGGCCTAGTGGGAGGTCCTTATGTCATAGAGGGAGTTGCCCTGGGAAGGGATTAAGGTGGTGCTCTGGGACACAGAGTTAGCGCTCACAAGAGAGCTGTTATAAGAAGCAAGCCCAGCCCCGCCCCTCTCTGGCTTCCTGTCTTGTCATGACCTCCTCCCACACAGCCTCTGGCCGTCATGCCACTTGCTGTGCAGTCTTCACCAGGGTGAGAGGATGCAGCACCAATGCTCTTAAACTTTCAGAACCGTGAGCAAAGGAAACTCTTTTCTTCATAAAGCACCTAGCCTCAGGTATTTGGTTACAGTAACAGAAAATGGACTAATACAGGAAAACATGGAAAAAGTCTTCATACATTTGCTGGGACATGAAGGATCTGGAGATGGGAAGATGGTCTTGGATTATCTGGATGGGCCCTAAGTGTTATCACATGTCTCTCTGCTTCCTGGTGGCCAGGTCCTGAGCTGTCTTCTTCCTCTGCCACATTCTCCTGCCATGAGGTTCTGCCTCACCTTGGGTCCAGAGGTCTGGAGCTGGCTGATCATGGGCTGAACCTCTGAAACGATGAACCCCAATAAATTTTTCCTTCTCTACGTGACTCTTGACAGGTCTTTTGGTCACAGTGACAAAAATAAAATTAAAAAAAAAAAAACTGACTAAAACACCTTACAAGAGGTCAGAGGGCAGAGGGCGATTGGACTATGACCTCTAGAAGGAGGAGGGGCTAGGATCATGAAGCAGGAGGTTTTGAGGCTGGAGGATGGGGCCACAGGCGCGTGGAAATGTGAAAAACGTAAATCTAGAAGCTGGGAAGGGCAAGAGTCCCCAGGAGGGAAGCCACCTCACTGAGGTCCTGATGTGATCTCACCCCAGGGAGCCCCCCCGTCTGGCTCCAGGTCTCCCAGGCTGTGAGAGCTACGGGTGCCTCTGAGATCGGGTACTTCGTGGTAATAGCTATGGCCGACTGATATGGTGAGCAAGTGGGGACAGGGGTGGGGGTAGGATGGCCCCACCCACGTGTCCGACCTCACCGCCCAACCCCCTGCCCCAGTCACGGAAACTCGAGCCCCTCAGACCTTCTTTCAGTTCCTGGAACATCCCAACCTGGCTCCTACCTCAGGACCTTTGCATCACCTGCTGTGTCCTCTGCCGGGAACACCCTTCCCTAGATTCCACACGGTGGGTCCCTTCCGCCCTTCTCAGACCCCTGATCTAATGTTCCACCCAACCCCAAGCCACTTCCTTTCCAGTCACTGTTCTATTTCCTCCACAGCATGAATCTCTTTCTAAGACGATTGCAAGCGTCTGTTGGTTTCTTCTTCCTTTCTTGTTTCATATGGCCCTGGGGGGGCGGCGATCGGGGCAGAGGGTCATCCCTGGGTCCCCTGTGCTCTGAAGAGGATGGGGGCAGAACGGAGGCTCCTTGCATGGAGGACAGTCAGAAGCCCCTGGTTGCAGGCAAATTTGGGGGGTGGGGGGCGGGCAGGTGGGCTGATCCCAGAGCTCTTCCCAGGGTCCAGCTGACGGGACAGCAGGGACATCCCGAAGGGGGACCGGCCTTAGATGGAGGAAGGGCTTCCCTTGGTCACAGGCCTAGAGAAGACCCGGGGCGACGGGTTTGTTCACGAGGAGGATAGAAGGACGACGAAGGGCCCTTGCCTGGCCCTGGGAGAGCCTGCTCCACGTCTCGAGGGACACCAGGTCTCAGGCGTCTCCATCTGCATGAGCCAGGGCTACCAGCTTTGGAAGGGCTCTGAGAAAATCCCCTGATCTCGTCAGAAACTGGCTGGTCAGCAGCTGCGTGCACTGAGACGGACACACCATCTACCAAGCTGGCCGATCGGGGTCAAGGGCATGGGCTTGGGCCGAGTCTGGGCTTCGTCACCTGTAAGCTGTGTGACCTGGGACAAGTGACTATACCTCTCTGAGGCTTGGTTTCTGCATCAGGAGGATGGCAGGGGCACCGTCAAGAGCAAAGGACATAACTGACCAAAGGACTTGAGCATGGGGCCGGCCTTCCTCTCACCCCCACCATGAGGTGGATTCTCTGGGCTTGAAACTGCTTCCATTCCTTTAGCGGCCCCCTCCTGCCTCCTTTTCCTTTAACTCTGGACACTTGCAGGGAAACTTCTAGGTAGAATCAGGGCAGCACCCTGGGGCTGGGGCTGTGTGACTCTGGATAAGTGACTTCGCCTCTCTGAGCCTCAGGTACCTCATTGAGAAAAGTGAGCTGAAGCCACACGTCCTATTTATTCACAGTCTCTGAAGAAGGTACGTTGTCACTGACCAAGTGCCCCGCAAAGGGGGACAGTGATCAGAATGCAGGGCGAGGCTGACCTGCCGGTCCAGATGGACGCGGGGCCGGGGACCTTGGCCTCCTTCACACCCTCCTTGAGGGCAGCAAGCCCAGCAACCTGGATATTCTCCGACAAGCAGCCTTTTAAAGTGACCGCTCCTAAGGACTAAAGGTGCCAGAGGACCCGGATTTAAGCCTCTCTCCCTCCCCACCTGCCAGGGCCCCCTCCTCCTGGGGCGCGGGAGGGAAAGGTCTTCAGCGAAAATATCACTTCTCCCCCCAGATAAGTGCCACACCCCGACAGCAGGGTGGCCGTGAGGGCAGTGGGAGTGACGGAGCCAGAGCTGCAGCCGGTTAAGTCTGTTTCCCGGAGGGAGAGGGAGGTGGCTGAGCAGGAGAATCCCATGTCCTGAGGGTCCCACGTCCTCACAGGCTCCAGAAGCCACAGACTGGGGGTGCCCTGGACCTGCGGCTCTGGGCTTGGTGGGCCTCACTGTCACCCAGGCCAGCTGGTGACCGTTCCTCCATCATCCAGATGCCAGTGCCAATCCCCACCCCAGACACAGCGTGGATGGGGGGACCCTTGGTTGGGAGGAAGAGAATTTGGGGGCAGCTACGTGAACCTGGGAGCTTGAATGTCCCCAGGCCTGCCAGCCCCGAGACTGACCCCAAATACAGCCTGCTTGGGAACTGGATGGCGGGGGTCCTCTGGGTGCTGCAGAGGGGGGAGAGGCAGCCCCAGGGACAAACCCACACAAGGCAGGTGGGTCCGATGGCCCCAGGACCTTTGGACCTTCCCACAGATATAAAGCAGGCTGAGATCCCAGCTCTGTCTCCTGCAAGAATAGGGCTTTTAAAAATAGCCTTGAGTCCCCCACGCTGGGTAAACCAAGGAAAGACGGATGGACCCATTGTGTCAGGAGGACGCGTTCACCGTGTCGGGAATCGCGTCGCCTTGGTGACGCAGCTGGTGGCACTGGAGTGGCCAAAACAACACACCTGTCCCCCTGGATGCTGGACGCTTATCGCATTTGCAGCCATTGGTGCTGAGTGTGACCTTCCCCTGGAGACCCACCCGGGACCCGGGGACAGGCGCTTTCTCAGGAGCCACTTTAAGCTCTCTCTATGGTGGAGCTGGGAATTCCACTGATGCAAACCCCATCAAGTGTGGGGGGTGGCACTGTCCCCAAAGCAGCTTCCCAGAGTAGAGGGGGGCACTTACAAAAAGCCACTGACCCAGGGGCGGAGGAGCCGTCCTGAAGGTCATTCTTCCTTACAGGGCTCCCCCAAGCGGCCTCCCTGGGCCCCGGACCTCCTGGGGACTTTCTCTCAAATCTCCCCTCCTCCAAAGTAGGTCGCCTCTTCACGGGTGAGGTTGAGCTGGGGGCAGAGGATGCGGTAGGCTGGGAGCCGGCCCTGCCTCCTCCTTGGGGAAACAAAGCAGGAGGGGGCCCCCCTGGGTGGTGCTCGGAGCCACCGAGGGCCCTGCACACTAGGTGAGGACGTCCCTCCTGGCACATTAGCAGCCTGGAGGGCAGCAGCTCCCCACCAGGATCCTGGGGGGGCCTTCACGTCACACAGGGTGGCTCAGGCAGGTCCAGGTGTGGCTGAAGGAGAGCCCCCAGGAATCCTGGTAGTCACCCCTGGGATCACGGTCAAGGGTATGGAAGACTGGACGCAGCGGGGATCAGCTGTCTGTAGGCGGGAGGCTGTGCCCACGCAAGCCGCATCCCGTCCAGTGGCCTCAGTGTTGAGGACCAGGGAGGGTCAGTGAGACCGGGAGGTGGGGGTTGTGCCCAGACCACACTCTCCAGGGTCTCCCAGCAAACAAGGGGACACCCTCGTTCCAGATCTTGCAGCTGCTTTAGGACGTAAGTCCACCCACTCAGACTCAGGACACCTGCTGGGTGGACAGAGGACCCCTCGAGGCCTCAGTGGGCTGTTCCTGTGGGTCAGCTCTGCAGGGGCCCAGGAAGCGGCAGTTCCTGGGCTCCCGCCTAAGAGGCCCCCTGTGCTCACCCTGGGGAACCAGGAGAACCCTGAGGACCGATCCTGGCCACTGGCTCTGGGAGTGGACGTCCAGGACCACAGGAGCCCCCAAGCATCTGCCCATCAGAAGGGTCCCACTCCACCCCACGAGTGGGTCTGAGACTCTCTGCCTTCCTTCTTCTGGAGACGAGAACTAAACGTTCCAAGGACACACAGGTTGGGTGTCCCCACTTCACATGTGACACATGGATCACCCAAAATACCACCTTCCAGGGGTCCTGGAGGATTATGCAGGATGGAGATGGGGAGACAGAAGTCCCTGAGCCGGGGTAACGGATGGGCTCTGGGTCTCGCGGTGAGAGCCACAGCCTAGGCCCGCGCACCTTGTGTAATTACGGTTTTTGGGGTTCAAGGGTTGTCACGTGGGGGTAGGTTCAGGTGTGGGGATAGCTCAGGCTGTCTCTGGGCTGCGAGGTTGAGTGTCAGGGACTGCACACGCACATGCACACACGCTCCGGCGCGGCTGGGGGCTTACCTGTCCACCTGGACGCCTGTGTCTCTCGTCTCCGCCTTGGCAGGTGCCCCTCGCTGGGCCCCTCTGCGGCCGCTGGTGAGAAGGCTCAGCACGGGCTCGATCTCTCTGAGCAGTTCATTCTGCTCCTGGCTGCCCTGGGGGCCAACCTTGCTGCTTTTCTTGGCAGGGTCCTGGCTTGGGGGCCTGGGGGCCAGGCCGTTGGCTTGGGGCAGCGAGCCGGCTTCCGGCCCCCCGTCCTGGGCATGCTGAGGCCCGTTCCCGGGGCCCGGGGGCCCACCCACCGCGGGCAGCTGCTCTTTGCTGGCCGAGGGCTGCTGGGACAGATCCACAGCTTTGGTGGGAGGTCCCAGGGGCTGTGTCACCCGGATGGTCTTGGGGGTCCCATCCCCGGTGAAGGTGGTCTCCAGGTGCGTGGTAAAGCCCTCGGGCCCCCTCAGAATGAGGACCACGTGGGTCTCGGAGGCAATGCCCCGGAGCACCTCCAGGGCACTGTCATAGCTGAGGTCCACCAGGGGCCGGCCGTTGACGGCGAGGATGATGTCCCCCGCCTGGACCAGGCCACTCTGCTCCGCGGCTCCCCCGCGAATCAGGTCCGAGATGATGACGGGGGGCTTGCTGACGCGCTCCTTCACCAGGAACCCCAGGCCCCCGACTTTGCGCTTGAAGAGGCGGACGGAGATGACATTGGGCTGGATCTGCTGAACCCCGAACATGTGCTCTTCCATGGCGCCTGGCCTCCGAGGGTCCACCCCGAAGACCCCAAAGCCTATCCAGCCGAGACGGATTCTCCAGGAGGGGCCAGGACTCGGCTCCACCGAGAGAGGAGCTGGGGACACAGCGGCCGAGAGGTTTCAGCCTCCGCCGTCTCTGATGTCAACGCTGCGTCACCCGCTCATTGCCGGGTGGCCGTCGGTGGCATGATTTCCTGCGTCTGCCCACCCCGCTGCTTGTCCTCTAAGGAGGCTGACAGCAGACAGACGTCAGGAGAGCAGTGGGACGTGTCCCTGAGCCACAGGTCAGCAGGCCGGGGAGGAGCGTCTGGGGGGTGTCTAGAGGTGATGCGTGATCGATGTGGGCTCTTCCCTGGGCATCTTGGTCAGCGGCTTGTTAGATGCAGATGAGATCGGGGGCTTCCTGAGCTGAAGAGAGGGGACAAGGGCATGAATGGAGGGAAGGGAGATGAAGAGATCAAGGGACCACCCCACCCCACCTTCAAGACGAGGGTGACAACGCAGACCAGCGTCCAGTCTAGCCCAGACACCTGGGGCTCTGAAGCCAACCTAGAGGTGGAACCTTGGTCCTCCAGGGGACAGTCTCCCCCATGAGCTGCAAGCTGTCTGGTTTCACCTCCAAGATGGAAGCCCTCAGCCACCCGAGGGTCTCCTTGGGGGAAATGGGGGACAGTCAGAAAGCAAATGGGAAGACTCACAGGACCTCCCTTATCTCTGTCCCGACGCAGAAGCCGCCACTCCAACTTGCCACGTGGCTGTCAGCAAAGCCCAGGAGCTCGGCGGCCGGGGCTCTCTGGCCCCTCATTCCAGCCCTTCCACGAACTGCCCCCCACAAACCCACCCGAAGAAGAAGGATACCACCTCCCACGGACCCAGGGACAGGGGATGCCAGCCGACCTTTGGGACCATTTTTATAATGATTAGCTTGTTTTAAGTTCAAAGACGGAGACGTGACCCTATTAAAACACAATCAGTCCCCAAGGCTTTTGTAACCCTGGGGATCTCGGGGCACATCTCAGCGCTCAAAGAATCCTCACTGATTGAGGAAGAAAAGCTCCCCCCGCAAGACAAAATACGATGGCAGCTATTGCATTGACGCTCCTGACCTGCGTAAGTTCCTGTTTTGACCCTTGTGATCACCCCTCGATAGATGTGCAAGCCGAAGCCAGAGGGGGTTCAGATCTTTGTTCAGGACCACTCAGGAGACGGCGGCAGAGGGAGGGTTGGAAATCGGGCAGCCTCACCCTGGAGCCTGAGCCCTGAAACTTACATGCTGATCATTTTAAATTGACTTTCTAGTTATTCTCTCAAGTCTCGGTTTCACTCTTTGAAACACTGGCGATTCTCAAGTGAGGGATCCCCCCTTGCTGAGCAGTGTGGGGTGTGGCTGGGGTACCAAGGGCTGCAGATGCCGTGGCTCAGGTGAGCACACCCCCCACCCCATGGTGTGTCCACAGGGGGCTGCATCTTTGGGTCTCCGTGTCCACGTGTGTGAGGGTTTAGACGTGAGGTGTCCCCCTCAGAGGCTCCCGTGTGAGATGATGCGAGAAGGTTCAGGGGTGAGCTGTTTGGGTTGGGAGTCTCGACCTCATCAGTACAGGACTCCCCTCCAGACACGGTACACTTCTCCTCCTCTAAACTCGCTCACAGCGGTGGAAAAAGGGCACTAAAGCAATGTGTCCACTGCCCCTTCTGGGCTGGGGCAGGAGATCTGTGGGGGGGTTGGGGGCATCAGAACGCCCCTTGGTCTCCTTCTCTACCCTCAAGTTCCAGGTCTGGCTCCATGCCACCCCCCCACCTGTGTCCTCACCACATTTTAGCACAAGGGGGGAGCCCCCATCTGCCACTACTAGCAAACTGACACACTTGGTTCCCTTTTAGCAACTTGCTGGGGTCACCCCAGGGCTAAGGCACTAAGAGCAGGAGGTGGGTACAGAGAACCCCACCCCCCAGAGGAGGTGGCCTCCCCTGGAGGGAGGGTGGCTAGCTCGGCTGCAGAGAGCATTACATTACATAACCCGCTGGCCCGTGTGGGCGAGGAGTGGCGCATCCCTGGGCCCAGCCACCTCCATCTGGTGTCCTGTGTGTGGCTCTGTGTGTATTCATGCATCGACCTCACGCTGCGTCCCTTGTTTTCTGTGTGTGGCCGTGTGTCCACCAGCGGAGTGTCTTTCAGCCTCTTTCTGCCGGGGCTCTGGTGTGCAGGGAAGACACCCCACGTCACCATGCCCTTCTCCCCTGGAGGGTCCCCCACCCTCTCCTCCTTCCTGAGTTCTCCTCCTGGGGACCGAATCCAAGATGCTGGCTGCTTAGTGGGGACAGAGACAGCGGGAACCTCGGCAGCGCTCAGGTGTTCGTGTTGGACACTGGGCTCTATTCTTTAAGGAAAAAAAGAATTTGAAGGTGGGGTTTTTTTGGGGGGGTGGGGAGAGGGGCAAGACCCCTAAGCCTATTTCTTCCAGTTGCTGGATTGGGTCAGACCTCAATAGGGGACAGAGATTGGACTTGGTCTTCTGTGTCCTTTGCTTTGGAAAAAAGAAAACAGAAATCAAGCAACCCACGCACACCCACGCTCGGCATGTCAGAGCTACTCTGGGCTCCTTCTCTTACTGTCTCCTCAGGAGCCTTCTAGAATCCGGCTGGGCTCTTGGCTGGTGCTTGGGACATGGGGTTGCTGTTGACCTCTCAGGTCTTGGCACTAGGAGAGGAAGTCGATCCTCTGGGAAACTGGGGAAGATGCTGGAGTTGGAGAGTCAGGGATATTCAGTGTCTGCACATGTGCACCACACACATGCACACACACATGCACACACACACGCACACACATGCACACCCCACAATCTGACCTATGAATTCCGAACGCTCCCCATTTCTTAGTAACAATTCCACAATACTCCGTGTCTCTTCTTCATGTTTCAATCTCATCCTGACCACGGTCAGGGTCGCCGGTGACCATCATCCAGATCCATCCACCAAGCTGCTCCAGGTCACCCCCCTGGTCCCAGTTGGTGGATGCCTGGAACCCGGGAGCCTTCTCGGGCCTCCGTCCAGCCACCAGGAGGCTTTGCAAGGTCCTTCCTGGCTGTCTCTGTCTCTGGGTGAGTTCTCTATCTGCTCCCCCCCTATCAATTTGCTTATCTGTAAAATGGGGCCATCAGCAGTGACCACTCATCTGGGGAACTGGGAGGATTCAAAGAAAGCCCCAAACGCAGGAAACGTGACGACGTCACAGAGTCAACACTGAGAGAAGCGGTTTCCTGTGATTGTTAGGAGAGATGAGATGATTTGGGCTTCCTGGGTTTCATTCCGGTCACTTTCTGCTCCACTGGGGTCTGCAGGGGGGTCTTTCCCTGGAAGGCACACAAAGGAATCCCACCTTGGTCTCACCTTGGGGGCGGTCACCGACCACAGGTGACGAAGCTGGCTAGAACAGCCTGCCAACCCGCCTCCGCTTCTGGAGCTGGGATTTTCAACAAATCCCACGCGCACGCCAGAGTATCTACCATGGAAACAATCCTTGGCCCCGAGCCTCATTCGAGTACTTCAGCGGTTTCGGGTATATTTATTTCACTTACCTTCCTGCGAGGAAATGAGTGGCTGAGGAGAGGGGTGGGGTGAGTGCCAGTGGAAAGGCAGGACCCAAAGAGGCCAGCGTCTGATGAGACCTCCTTGCTGTGTGACCCAGGGCATGCCATCGCCCACTCTGGGCCTCCTTTCTGTAACTGGGGAACTACCAGCATGTTTGAGTGCTGTTGAGTTTACTGTGGGCAGAACTTGGGGCCAGGGGTGTCTGATGGAAGCCTGAGGCTCAGCGATGTGAACTGAGGAAATTGGTAGCCCAGGTCCCCGTGAGTAGATGCTGAGGGTTCCTTCCCATTGTCAACCGTAATCCTGATGGCAATCCATGGCACTGGGCCCCCCTCCCTCCCTCCCTCCCTCGCCTCCCCAAAGTGCTTCCGCATCTGCTGCTCCGTTTTTCGTCCTCACCCCGATCAGGGTCACACTCGGTGGCTCCTCGTTTCACAGATGAGGAGATTAAGCTTCTCTGGGACACCCGCTCGCCCTGGTTTGTCATGGCTTTCCATTTCTAGCACTGAAAGCCGGATGAAGATTAGGACGAAGGGAAGCCGCTGAGATCCTCTGGACCGGCTTCCTCATTCCCAAACGAGGAACAGAGGCCTGGAGGACCGAGGGGCTCCCTCCACGTGGACCCGCTGCACCTCCATGGCCCAGGGCCACGCGGTCCAATATGGCGGCCACCGGCCTCAGGAGACCATGGAGCCCCTCTGCTGGGACTGGTCAGCCCGTCGGTGGTTGAGAGGCACTGTAAGGGCTTGGCTCAAAGGTCAGTGTGAGGAAAAGAGTGGGGAAAGTTTTCGGGTCTTGATCCCAGGTTGAAGTGACACTGCTTGGGACGCACGGGGCTAAGCAGAATTTTGTGTGAAAAAAAAAATGGATTTCCCTCGCCCTTTATTTTTTTAGTTCTGGGCCTCAGGCCCGTAGGCAAGCGCTCTCCCACTGAGCCGCCGCCCACGTCCTCACCTTCTACTCTTTTGAGTGTGACTGCTATAAAAGTGAACCCTACCCCGTGGGCTAAACGGTGACTATGGGTCTTCCCTGGATTCTGCTGATTCCCCCAAGAATCTACGGATGACTTAGGAAAAGACACTTTGTCTTTAAAAGCTTTAGCTTCTAAAACCAAACCCAAACAAACAAACAAGCAAAAAAACAACAGAGAAATGACAGAAGAGGGTTGGTAAAAATGTCTGGGCGCCTTGCGAAGTTGACCATTGGAACCGGGGGCGGGGGGTGGGTCGGTGAGGGAGGACACCCACCCACAACATGGTAAGAAGGGGTCATAGTAGGATGTTCCCTGGACTAACAGTCCAGTACCCCAAATCCTGTCTCCCGGTGTCCGCTGAAACCTAACCCATCTTGACGATGAACTGTGTCACTACAAAGCCTGGAGTGCATCTCTATGCACAGGTAAGAAATTAGTCCCCAGATACACCAGAAGGTGGGGGGAAATAAAAGGTGCCACAGGGGAATTCTACACCTGTACCTGCAGGGATTCTTCTGGAAGGAACGGATCTTAATGGTCGCATCTTACAGGGCCCATTGGGAGTCAGGAGGAGGAGGAGGGCTTGTTCTTGGTGCTGAACACCTTTGTTCTCCTTGAATATCATGTAAATGACTTTCTTCATCACATGTGCATTGCCTTTTTAATGAACAATATTAAAGAAAACAAAACCCAGCCCGGGAACTCCGCGGTTTTCAGTTGCACACCCACAACCTCGCTCACGGTGTGGGGGGGGCCTGCTCCCCATCTCCCTCGGATCTCCTTGAAAAGCAGGATCCAAGTCTTCAGAAACGAAACCCAGGAACGCCGCCATCCCCCACGCCAACAA